ATAGAGGCTTGCCTCTGGATAAATGCTCCCAGGGCTGTTGCCCTAGCTCCATTTGTTATGGTTTGTGGATTCTAAGTTCTTACTCGTGCCCAACCTTGAGACTAGGTGGCTGACTCAAGTACACAATACTAAGAACTGGGCAGGAAAACAGTAGATATGAAATTTGGCATTGAAACTATTTTGTCATGAGAAAATGAGGATCTTTAGCTGCTTAGATTGTTTATGTTATCAATTAGTGTTTGTAGATCATTTCTCATGGTACAAAGCTATTTTCTCTATAATATTGTAACCTCTGAAAATAAACCAGTCTTATGAGCGTCAGTCTCAGACTCACCTAGCCCGATTTTGCTTTCTCCAGTTCCCCTTCCCCTTTTTTCTTTCACTGCTCTGTCGTACATTCAAGCTGGCTGCTGGCAGTTCGTGCTGAAACAAGGGCTTGCGATCCTTGGATATGAAAGTCTTAGACCCCTGGAGAGTACAAGAGGTTAAGAGAGACACAGTGGCACCTTACTTACCGACTCGGAGCTCCACCACAACTATGGGAAGAGGTAAGGGGATTTAGTCATGTTGAATGAAACACAACACTAGGCTTATTCAGGGAATTCTCTGCTCTCTTTTAAAATGAGTCAGACTTAGTTTAAAAATAGAGAGCAACACCTTCAAGCTTTCTTTCCTCTCATTTGGTTAAGGTATGTTCTCCCTGGAGAAAATTCATTCTCCATGACCTTAAGGAAAATTTTGCCTGTTTTTCATAACATCTGGAAAAAATAAAAAGAAAAAATCAAAATCAAAATGAATACTATTTGATTTGTGCAAAGAATTTCTAGCAAACCCCTCTGAGCTTTTGGATTTTCCCTGTCACATTTTTTCCGTATTTGTTCTGTGTTCATCTGTGTGGTATGATTGATGTGTACGCGCATGTAATCTGATAACCTTTGCAATTAAGTAGCAAGAATAGCATTCCAGGGGAATGCTGTTTTCTTTCTCCTCTTCTCCCTCCTAATACCAGCTGCCTCCCAAGAGCGGGTGGATGGGAGAGAGAAGGAGGAAAAAATATTTTATTATTTAGGTTATATGATTGGTAAAAGGCAAAGAAAGTTTAAGCATGCAGGGATGAGAAAAGTATGGGTAGAAAGAAAAGCACAATCTGTTTGCATGAGCAGTGTGAACAGAGAGTTTGAGAGTAAAACATTTGGGAACTTTTAAAGAATTGTCGGAAATTTTTTTCTCTCTCACTTTCATTCTAAGCTCTGGCCAAGTTTTTGGGTGTGAAGCAAGAGATAAGAAAGATAAGTGGTTGGAAAATGTTCTCTTCCCCTCTTCTGCATTCAGCTTTGGCCCAGTTGTGGTGACCAACTTGGCCAGGGCTGGGGTGAGGGACAGAGGAAGAGGAAAGAGGATAGGAGGGCGAATTTTTAGCCTCAGATCAAAAAGAAAAGTTTTTATGTATTGAAACACAACCAAAACATAATTTAGTTCATTCTAATTGGTAATGTGTTTGTTTCAAGTTTTAAAAATCTAGTATTTTTCCAATTGGTAAACTTTTGTATTGTTCTGTCAAGCAGTTTTTCATAATTTGGATGTTATTAAAATGGGAACTAAAAGAAACTGAAAGATAGTGGGAAAATTGTGTAAAACCAGATAAATTATTTTATCAAGCCCTGCCAATCTTGTCTTATAATGTTTTGTAACTGTCAATTAGAAAGTCAGGTATTTCCATCTTTACCTGTAATTAAAGAACAGCTTACAGTTAAAACAACTTGACTATCACTTATGAAAATTACCAGATTGTTAATTAAGTTATTTGAAGTTACTGTTTTAATGTTAAAACCTAGAATTTTTAATTACTTATGAGTGAAAAGGAGGGGCACAAGGCAATTCCCTTTACTTTGTAAACTTGCCAGAGCTCCTAGAAACTATCTGTGTGGGCAAGGTCATTCTGCCCTGAGAAAAGAACTTGTTTGCATTATAGAGTTCCTAAACATTTAACTTGGCTTACTGAGAACTTGCAACTTTATGTACAATAGATAGAAATGATTTCTAATAATTGGCTTTTATACCAGAGCAAGTTTAAATTTGAGAAAAAAGGATGTTAAGTGAAATCTCTTACATATGTGAGTCTTACTAAATCTTTATTACTTATTACAACTCCATGAGAATAAAATTAACTGTATCTGGCTTTAAGCTGTGATTAGTGAAACTTGCTGTTTGAGGTAAAAGACTCTTAGGACTATAACTAATTTTGTTTTCAGTTTGAATTTGGGTATAGTTGTCTCCATTAAATCAGTATTTGAAATTTCCCTATTGCGTTCCTTTAAGAAGGAATGTTTCCCACCATGTGCCCAAATTTTGTTCATATATTACTATCAAACCTGTTAAGCAGAGATATTCTCAGACAAGAATAATTCATTATATGGATGATATACTTAGCAGTTGTTCTACTGCTAGTGAACTCTCCTTATTAATGCCTGAGCTTTCACAAGCCCTTCAATATCACAGATTTATAATTGCCTCTGAAAAGGTACAGAATAAATCACCCTTTCCTTACTTTAGACATATTGTTTCACAGTCTACAATTAGACCCCCAAAATATTACCAATTAGACAAGATTCCTTAAAAACTCTTAATAATTTTCAAAACCCTCTTAAAGATATTAATTAGCTTTAGCCTGCCTCGAAGATCACCACTAACCAATTATTCAATCTTTTTACCACCCTCAGATACCTCACTAAGAATATTTACACCTCAAAGAAAAGATGAATTTAAACTAGTAGAATAAAAGATAGCTAAAACCCAATTATTAATTCCCCTTAATTTGTGGGGGCAAAATATTTTACATCAAATGGGAGCTGTTATTTTCTCCGTCCCACCCCCCCAAAAACAAAGTTATAGTGGAGGCCACTGTTTGTGCTTCTCCTATCCATAAAGCTGATAAAATACAATGGAAATCTGATAAACTTGTTTGGGTAGAACAGTGGCTTTTGAAGAAAGAGAAGCTTTTTGCATTAAAACACTTAAGTTGAACAACTTTTAGAAGGACATGTAGAACCCTCTACAAGTCCTTGGAATTCACCTGTTTTTGTTATTAAAAAGAAGTCAGGGAAATGGAGGATGCTTCATGACCTCCCAGATATTAATGACACTATGGTGACTATGGGTCCCCTTCACTCCGGTCTCCCCTCACCCACTACGATTCCTGTTTCCTGGCCTTTCATAGTTATTGATTTAAAAGATTGCTTTTTCACTATTCCATTGCAAGAAGCTGACAAATGTTGCTTTGCCTTAATGTAGAACAACCTGCAACCAGGTTTCAATGGAAAGTCCTTCCTCAAGGTATGAAAAACAGCCCCACAATGTATCAAAATTTTGTTAATAAGGCTATACACCCAATTCGGAAAAAAAAAATTTCCAACGCAAAAATAATACACTATATGGACGACATACTTTGTAGCTGTTCCACTAAAAATGAACTCACACATTTATTACCTCAGCTTCAATTAGCTTTACAGGAATATGGGCTTATTATAGCTCCAGAAAAAGTTCTAGAAAAATCTCCATTTTCCTACCTAGGTCATATTGTCACCCGAAACAACGGTGAAGCCACAAAAAGTACACTTATGTCTTAATTCTTTAAAAACACTTAATGATCTTCAAAAACTCTTAGGGCACATTAATTGGCTTGGACCAGCACTCCAAATTATTACAGAACAATTGGCTAATCTCTTTTTTACACTTAGAGGAGATTCTGGTCTAAATTCCCCTAGGACATTAACTCCTGAGGCAAAAAAGGAGCTTTAATTAGTGGAACAGAAAATTTCTGAAGCTCAATTCACCCGTATTTCTTTAAATGAAGAGGTACAAGGTACTATTCTTAGTACTCCAGTGTCCCTTACAGGAGTTTTATTTCAATCTTCTGGAGTCTTAGAATGGATTCACCTCCCTCATCAATTCCCCAATTCTATAACACCTTATCCTACAATGGTAGCTTATCTAATAATAAAACTTCATAAAAGATATCTTCAACTTACAGGAAATTTGCTTTGTTATTCATCAACCTTATAATAAAAAACAAATACACAGTTGTTTCCTCTTCAGAGAATTGACAAACTGCTATTACCATTTTTTTCTGGCCATATTGATAATCACTTACCATCTCTCAAGATATTAACCTTTTTTTACTAATTATTCATGGGTATTTCCAAAAATCGTTAGATCTAACCCCATTCCTTCAGCACCCAATGCATAGAGTCAATATAGTTTCCAAATAAAATTCACCTTTGGCAAACTCTTTCCTTTGGAGCTTGGAGGAGAATGCTTCCTCCTCCCACAGCCCCTGTCCCCAAATGCTCACTGCTTTTACTGACAGCTTAAGTAATGAAAAAGCTGGTTGTTATATTTTTCAATATTGTCACAAGGTAATTCAAACTTCCTTTTCCTTTGCCCAGGAGGCAGAACTTTTCACTCTGATTCTCCTTTTTCAAAATTTTTTTCTAAACCTCTTACTGAAAGTAATGCCATTATTGATTCTCAACTATAATTCTACCCAACACTTTTAACCCCTACCATACAACAAGCTACTAATTCTCATTCCCAGTTTCACCAAAATGCTAATACCTAACTTCTTATTAAGCTTTTATTGAGCCTTTTATTAACTATATTCTACCAATGATGCCAACTTAATTGTAGAGAGGATAACAATTTGTGACTATTTTTGAATAAACTCCTGCAGTATTAGAAACATAGTATAAAAATTATGCTTTTTTAAAAAAGGCTGTTTCAAATGTATCACTTTTATTAACCCTTTTTCTTTTGCCATTAATCCCAGAGGCTTTTTTCCCAAACCTATTTAGCGAGTGAATATAACTCGTATGCCTTCTTTTAAAAAGCTTTCTTATATTCATGTTATAGTTGATATTTTTTCTTCTTTCATTTTTGCCACTTTACAAACAAGTGGAAAAACTAAACATGTAATCAGTCATATTTTACAAGGCTTCGCGGTTATGGGTGTACCTAAACAAATTAAAACAGATAATGCTCCTGCTTATGTTAGCAAAGCATTTTCTTCCTTTTATGCTTTTTTTATAACATTTCTCTGATCACAGCATTCTATATAATTAAAACAAAGATATTAAAACTATTCTTAAACAAAAAAAGGGGGTATCTGGGCTATTACCCCTCATCAACAATTGGCTATTAATTTTTAAAATATTAACAAAGATGGGTACACTCCAGCTGAAAAAACATCTTGAGAAAAATAAATACCCAGAGGCCCGGATCCATTACTAATGAGGGGAGGTGGGCATGCTTGTATTTTTTCAGAAAACTTCGATAAACCTGTCTGGATACCAGAGAAAAATGTCTGGGCGTGTATCACATCTCACAGCCCAGATGCAGAGTATGAGGATTCGGGGAAAGTGCAGAAGGAGCCGATCTACAGTGAGGAGTCGCCTTCCCACATTGGGTCAAGTGAAAGCTCCCTCTCATTGAGTGATGGAAGACTCCTGAACTTGTATTTTTAGCAACGGTAGCTTTACTTTCTGCTCAAGTGTGTAATGTACAGAGTGCTCAGCACTGGACTTATTTTCCTTTTCCACCCTGGTTGTGACCCCTCACATATGTGGACAAATTGGGAACTATATGTACTAACAACATTCATATATTCGGAGGCCAAGAATACCCCTTCCTCCAGGACAGAGCCAATCTTATAATTACCCTCAGATCTCTAGCATCTAGGACACTTACATGTTTTTCAGAAGTTAGCAACAAGACTGAACCCTGTCTTTTTCTTGTTACATCATTTTTTAATACCAGTTTATCTAATGGATATGTAGATTTTACTCAGTAATACTACTTTTGAATAGAATGTTACTTGTGTCAATTGTACTCTCAAACAATGTATTGATAATAATGACTATATTGTATTTTTTGTAGAACAATCATTTGCTATTTTCCCTACTAACATCTCACATGAATAGTTCCAGAACTCTGGAGAACATGTTCTTCAAGTTATTACTTCCTCCTTAAGTCAATCAAAACAATTTATTGATCTCCTTATTACTGATTTAATCATTGTTGCTTCTCTTATTGTATCTACTACCGTTTCATTTATTGCATTACAATCTGAGATTTAAACTGCATAATTTGTAAATGACTTAGCAAAAATATGTTTAGCACTTAAAGCACAGGAAGCTATTGATAGAGGTATATTGTATAAAGTCAATTTATTAGAGCAGTCAGTATTGTATTTAGGAGATGAGTTAGAAACCTTGAAAACAAGCTTGTTTTTGCAATGTGATTACAGATATTCATATATTTTGTTACTCACTACCCTATAATGCTTCAGATCTAATATCTCATTAAGATACGTGCTCGCCTATTGGGAGCCTGGCATGATTCTAATATTACCTCAATATTAATACCCTTCTTGATATTGCTTCCAACATTGAAAATAGTCCCTGTCTTGGGATTGACACCAATAAAAAAGCAAATATTATCTTGTCTACATTACACCAACTTTCACCCTTTTCAAGTATATCCTTGCTTTTGCATATGCTCCCCTATGGCATTGGCCTAATTTGTTTTTGTTTTTGTTTCCCATTATTTTTAAGATTCATAAATGCTACCATCAGACCAATTATGAGTCAATTGCATGAACTCAAATTAACAAATAAAAAGGGGGGAATGTAGGGGCCAAGTCTTATGGAAAAACTCTAAGTCCTTATACACTATAGGGGTCAGTACGCATAGAGGCTTGCCTCGGAATAAACGCTCCCATGGCTCTTGCCCTAGCTCCCTTTGTTATGGTTTGTTGATTCTAAGTTCTTACTCATGCCCAGCCTTGAGACTAGGTGGCTGACTTGGGGAGACAATACTAAGAACTGGGCAGGAAAACAGTAGATATGAAATTTGGCATTGAAACTATTTTGTCATGAGAAAATGAGGATCTTTAGCTGCTTAGATTGTTTATGTTATCAATTAGTGCTTGTAGATCATTTCTCATGGTACAAAGCTGTTTTCTCTATAATCTTGTAACCTCTGAAAATAAACTAGTCTTATGAGCATCAGTCTCAGACTCGCCTAGCCTGATTTTTCTTTCTCCAGTTCCCCTTCCCCTTTTTTCTTTCACTGCTCTGTCGTACATTCACACCGGCTGCTGGCAGGTATAAGGTTGTACTTCAGATATAAAAAGGTTTGCTTCTTTTTTGCAGCTTTGAAACGTGAGTGGTCTACAGGGTCGAGTATGCTTTGATAAAACCACTACTGAGATGGGTTTGCTTCTCTTTGTGTCTTTTCTTCCATTGCAACAGTGACTCGTTAGAGCTCAAAAAGCCTGGAGGAAGCATTATTTTCCAATGTCTTGGTGACAACAGTGATACCTCAAAAGCACTAGTAGTTGACTGGGATTTAGAATATTAGTGCTTTATTAGATCATCTAACCACCACCAAGAAAAGGAACAGTAGTGTAGTTATGCCAGGGAAAGAGTCAACATCTGAGAAAAGCCACCAGAAGATCAAATTTTACAATTTGATTGGATAATGCTTGGGTCAGAAGATGTCTCTTTTACTTATTACCAGATCGTTACCAGCTAAAAATCAAGTGTTACTAAGACTCCTTTATAAAGGAGGGCTTTTGGAAGTTTAGTATCATATGAAATTGTTTCTTAGATTGTTGCAGCAATTAGATCATAAGCATTTCTTAAAGATCTATTGTGTGGCACTGGAATGATAGCAACATTCCAGAATTCCAGATATCAACACATCAGAAAATATATGTGGCAGCCAAGTGGCCCTTGCAGTACATAAGAGTGCTGGTCCTTCAGTCTTTTAGAGTTTATATGTGACTTCAGACACTCACTATGTGACCAGGAGCAAGTCACTTGGCCCTGTTTGCCTCAGTTCTTCATCTGTAAAATGAGCTTGAGAAGAAATTGGCAAAGCACTCTAGTACTTTGGCAAGAAAACCCCAGACAGGATCATGACAATTCTGAAATGACCAAACAACAAGAGTTTGTCTTCTTTTGTAACATTCTTTTTGAAAGCAGGTCCATGGGCAAAAATTATTGGATATAGAAATGCATTATCATGAACATAATTTCCTACCATAAAAACAACATGAGTTACCCAGTCTAGATATTAAAATAATTGTTGCTTGATTATTCATACTTTGAATTTAATTATATTAATTTTGATATTCAAAATTAACTTTTCCATGTGCTATTACCACATCATTTATTTGATTGGAAAATCACCAATATTCAACTTCTGCCCACGCCTATTGATCGCATCTTTGCAACATTTCCCAAATGTGACTCCTTTTCTCCTCTGGCACTGCCCCCATCTTACTGCAGACACTTATTATCTCTTGCCTTGATTATTTCAATAGCAACTGGTGGGTCTGCCTTTTTCAAGTCTTTCTTCATTCTTATCTGTCCTCCATTCAGCCAGTAAAATGACTTTCCTTAAAGTGCCCCCCTCCTATTAGGTCACCCTCCTATTCAATAAATTTTGATGGTTCCCCATTGCCTCCAGGATTAAACCAAATACTATGTTAGGTATTCAAAGGCTTTCATGATGTAGCCAATTTTTTTCGTATCAAGTTTTATTACACCGCATTCCCCAACTGTTCAATTAGTGATACTGGCCTCCTTTCTGTATCCTGAACAAGACCACGTCTAGGCTCTGCACATTCTTTCTGACTGCATCTCATGTCTGGAATAGTTTCCTTTTTCTTCACTTTCTGTTGACCTTCAGCAGTTTTTAAGTTCCAACTATCATTCCAACTTTCACTACAGGAAACTTTTTAACTCTAGTACTTTACCTCTGTTAATTATTTATTTTGTTAAAGTTTGATATATATATACACATAGGTACATGCACATACATACATATATCTGTATATATACAGATGTGTGTATACACACACACCTATATACACATACACATTACATGCATACATACATATATACATACACAGAGAGAGTTGGAGGCATTTAGGGTTAGGGTTAGGGTCAGAGGTGTGCATATGTGTATATATATATATATATATATATATATATATATATAGAGAGAGAGAGAGAGAGAGAGAGAGAGAGAGAGAGAGAGAGAGAGAGAGAGAGAGAGAGAGAGAGAGAGAGAGAGAGAGAGAGAGAGAGAGAGTTCCATGTTGCTTTCCACATTAAATTGTGAGTGCCTTCAGGCCAGGATGTTTTTTTGTATTGTCATCATTTAGCACAACTCCTAGGTTAAGGGTGGAGAGCCTGGAGGCCACATGTGGAGTTCTGCTTTTGTGAACTTTGGGTTCAGTGCAAGGGCATGTACAAGGCCCCTTCCTACCCTGTACCCCACCCCTCCTTTCTCCCACCATGGTCTAGGACAAAATAGTGCTTAATAAAATGTTACTTGATTGGCTAAATTTTATCAATGTTGTGTAATTTTAAAATGTTGCATTTTATGGTGTCTTTTAGCCTTCCTGTTAGTTATTATTTTTCTCCTTATGTATAATTGTGAGAGATAATGCTGTGTTTCATTTTATTTTTGTGATGTAGTTATTATATATTTTGAATTTTTATCATAAGAATGTAAGATTATAGTGGAAATACATTTTCTTAACAAGCTGTTTTACAGTTTTTTGCAGCTTTATTTTTTATTATATACCCTGATAGATGCATTTGTTTTAGGTATTTGCGTATATAAGTAATTGTGCTAATTTAAGTTGTGGTCAATATTTTTATTAAGTTAATTCAATTATTTCAGTAAAGTAAATGCTTAAAGATTAGAAATATTTCTTATTAGTCAAGTTTCTAATATTTTAGTATAGTAATAAAGAAAGGATCTGTTTCAGGTGTTCTTTTTACTTTAAGTGGAATTTCAAGTTTTAGGGGAAATGTTTTTGGCGCTGTGTTAGAAAAAAGACGAGAGCATAAGGAAAGGAAATTAAAAAGAAATGGGAAGCAAAAACAATTGTTTTAGGATCAGAGGATTTTTGCATAAGTATGATAGGGACTTTGGGGGATGTTGTTTCTTTCTGGTCCGAAGGTTTTTGTTTTGTGAATGATTTTTTCATTGTAATGTTGTGAGCAAATCCATCTCTTTGATAAACGTTTTAAATGTGTAAAGTTAAACGCAGAGGAAGATAAAGGAAACGAGGCACAGCAGAGATTTAAGAAAATAAACAAATAACCTTGTACTTGTTTCAGAGAAAAGAAAAAAGATTCCCTAACGGGAATGGAACCCAGGCCGCCTGAACGAAACCAGGAATCCTAACCGATAGACCATATGGCAAACCAACAGCTCTGCCGAGTGTTGTAGAATTTGTACAAACATCATTTTGTCATTTCTAAAATTACTGGTATGGTTTTTTTTGGATCTTTTAAAAGTTGCTTGTTTGTTTGTTTGTTTTCTGTCTCAGTAAGTATCTCATAATTCTTGGACTTCTTGGTGTTTAAATCTGGTGTTTTTCAATCTGCCAAAAGTAACATCTTAAGGTGAAAACTGTGGCATTCTAAAGGGAGATGAGTTCTTTGGTTTTTATTATTGTTGATAGGGTATTGTTTAGAATGGACAAAATTATAAATTAGAAGTACAAAATTTCCCAAGTAAAAGTTTAGAAAGAGGATGAATATGTCAAGAAGTGCCATGAGCTTTTTTTACTATACTTTTTTTATTCCATTCCGTGTGTAATCAAAGAACCAGAAAATGTTAAATCTATAGAAATCTTCCTTAACGAGAGAATGAAAAATAAGTTTAGGGGAAATCTGAGTGGAAATGATAGAATCATGGAGGGGAGGCAGAAGCATGCAATGAGATGAACTGACAGAAGGTGGGTGGACAATCTTCTGCGCATGTGCATGTGCATGCGCATTCCTGGAACCGTTGCGGTCGGCTGGAAGGGGTGGAGAAGAGGCGGTAGCCATGGAGTCTTCCTCTAGCGTTGGAGAAGGTGGAGGCAGTTGTTTAAGAAAGGGTGCGTCACCTCTCTGTTCTCCTTTATTTCTCCAGACCCCTCAGAACATTCCCAATGCCTTTCCTTTGCTCAGCCACGCCCCTTCTACTTAAATGCTGTGTTTTATCAGTTTTTTTAAACCAATTGAACTCAAGCCTGCTTCCTCCTGATAGTACAGAGGGCCGCCAGCCTGAAAAAAGAGACCTTGTATTTACATATGTCATCTGCCTAATACAAGTAAGCTTCTCGAGGGCAGAGGACTATTGCTTTTTCTTTATATCCCTGCTACCTGGCACAGTGCTTGGTAGATGTCACAGTTTAATCAACGATTGATCGATCTTGGTGTGGAAAAGAACCCTGTCTCTCAGAGGCTTTACCAGCGAAACCTCTACCAACCTGGACAGACTTTTGAAGTTGAGCCTCACGCTGGAGCATTATACAAGCTGTGTGGGACAGCTACCCTTATTTTCCAAGTTAAACTCAGAGGCTCCTCAAGGTAGAAGGCAGAAACGAATTTTCACTACGATCTCCCGAGAAAGGGCGGCTCCCTCCAAAACCATTTCCATGACAGACCCCGGCGCCGAACACAGATACGGCAGGTTTTTGTATTTCTCCACTGCAGTGCTCCTCCCCACCCCCTTCCTCTCAGCCCATAGTCACAAGCCTTGAAGGGACAATCCACCGTGATAAATCTTCCTGGAGACAGTGACAAACAATCAGATGTGGCTATCTTGAAATGTTCCCATTCTGCAGACCCCTGCAAAACTCTTTCCCCACCCCCACCCCAGTCCCCTGTGATCATCCTGTGTCCTTTGCTCTTATCCCATGAACAACCATTTGTTCACATGGTTGGGCAGAAGGCCTGTATTTTGGTTTAAATTTTATGAGGGGTTCTCACCACATCCTATTCAGAACTGATTTGAGAAGGACTCAACAGTGTGTTTGTTGGCTGACAGAACTTTTAGGCCACAGTAATTCAGAAACTATTTACCAAATTGTAGAAAGATGCTCTTAAATGTCAAAGATTTTTGAATGCTTGATCACTTCCTGAATTCTTGTTCTAAATTATTGCTCATATTAACTAACACTAAATTCTCTTACCTGCCAACAGAAGGAAACCTAGACCCTAGGACTGAAGACGTGATCAGCAGAATTAATGAATTGCAGCAAGGTGAACCAAGGCTTTTAAAAGTCCCTCAAACTACATGGAAACAGTTACCTCAGTAGCCTCTGTATTCCTTCTGCCTACATGAAACTCATTTCCCTGAGTCCCACTTCAAAATAGGGAAAATCTGAGCAGGCTGGGTTGGTGAAAGAAAGATTTAAAAAGACATGGTAGTACAACTGAACCCCAAAGAAAATGCAGAGAGTATCAAAGTAAAACCTCAGGAACTATCCGCTGACCTGTATACTAAATTTGATTTCTATGTACAACTTTGAGTAAATCTCATACTGTTTTTCAGTTTTCAAATTCCTGCTCTATGAAGTAAGTGGGAGGAGGAGCAATATGGAAGAACCCATTTGTAAATATCTCCTTTTGTCTTTGTCTTGACAGCTAAGAAAATTGCAAATAAGGAACTCTGTGAAACCCAGGCCCACAGGCAATCCCTGCAGAAAGAACTAGATGAAAGTAAGTGCCACAGATTCAAACAACCTTTTTGTCCCCAAAGCCTACCATCACAAAGTCATCTAATTTGGTTGTACCAGGGTCTGCTTTCCATACTTGCATTCACAGGAGCCAAATTTGACAAACACTTTGGAGATTACCTATTGTTGTTTATCCTTTGCCCATTCAATGATAAAGGCCTAATAAGAAACGAGGCAGAGAGTGGCCTCTTTACCTGCTCTAAACAAATATATTAATCATTTATTAATTTTTTAAAAAATCACTCTGGGAAGGAAAGACCTTCAGCGTTTCTGGCCAAAACAGAAACAATTGGTATATACATTCATCCTAAAGCAGTCAAGGCCAAAACATTGACCAAGCAGGGCTTGGCCTGGACCTATTGTTGTCTGATCCATGAGATGATGTGGGGTTAAGGCTGGTCTTTAAGAAGAAAAAAAATGTTTCAGAGATTAAAACCTACATTCACTTTGTGCACAGCACCTGCCCTATGAAGACTGAGAGAAAAAAGATGTAAAGAAAAAAAACAATTATCTATCTAGAGGTTATCTATATAACCTAACACCATTCTTTCCCTCTTCGTTCCCTTCCTTCTTTCCTTTCGTTTCTTTCTTCTTTCCTTTTGTTTCTTCCTCCTTCTATCTTTCTTTTGTTCCTTCTGTTGAAGTTAGAGTTGGGAGAGCTGGTTCACATGTAAAACAATTCATTTAGACCTTCTACTGTAGCCATTGGTGATAAGTTCAGGGTGGACCCAAGAATGTTGGGGTGCTACCTGAAATGATAAGGAATAGACATGTGGTCCTAGTGTCCTGAAAGAATTCACTTGGTACAGTCTCTAAGTTAAAGAAAGGCATTTATTGGGGTGATGCACCAAGCGTGCCTGCTCCCCATCAGGCAGAGCCCCAATGGACTCTACTCCACATGGGAGGCAGAGCATAGGTCACAGGCTCTGCTCCCTGAGTAGAGCAGCTTCTGCTTCCCAGAGGTGGCTAGCCAGGTCAAAGGTATGGTTTAAATACAATTTTATAGAATAGGAGGAAGAGGACAAGAGAATGGCTCCAAAATGCCTGGGACATCAGGTAGTCTGGAGATGATAAGCAGAGGGAACAGAAAGGGGAGGGGAAGAGTTGTTCTGAAATTGAGGGTGCTTTGTGAAAGCACCCAGATAAGTGTACAGTGGGGGCTTTTCGATCGTTTTTTTTTTCTGGCTGCTCACATCCTGCATCCTATCTGTTATCTCAAGTCCTGCTTGCTTCATCTGCCTCAAGCGCTACATCATCACTTCCTTCTTCCTCCTTTCCTTCCTTACTTTGTTCCTCCTTCCTTTCTTTCTTCCCCCTCCTTCCTTCCTCTCTCCTTCCTTTCCTTCTCTTTCTCTTTTTTGCTTCTTTCTTTCTTTCCCTCTATCCACATAATGTATCACAGCCTTACTTGAGGGTGCTCTGCCCAAAGGAAATTTTAATTTCTATCTCTGAAACTTTTTTCCTTTTTTCTTAAATACTACTGACGAGGTCTAGAAGTTTAGGGGTGCTGGAACCCCAAAATCATGACACAAGGATCTTGGCTGCAAGAATTCGACCCAAGCCTTCTTTCAGCCAAAGACAAGGTTTATTAAAAATTTGCCATATTGGCCAGACTCTTAAGGAAATCTGAGCACTTATGAGCGATTGTAAAAATCTGAGCAGTGGCTAGATTATAAAAGTCTGAGCATGCTAATGGAGACAAAATGGACTTTATATATAGAAAGACTGAGGGAGGATGTAGGAGTGGCTAAATAGGTTGGGTGACTGGAGGAGGGGTCTAAGGACATCTGGATGGGAGTGGCCAGTAAACCAGTGAACAGAATGCCTGGGAACTGGACCTCTTGGCCAATAGATGGAGCCTAGCCAGGTTAAGGGTGGGAAATGACTGGGGGCCAAAGAGAAGTAAGACAATGGAGGGCTAGGCTAAATGAAGGGTAAGAGAATTGGGAGACTGGGCATTGCCACAGTGAAAGGCCAGTTGATGCCATTATAGCCTTAGGCAAATGCCAGAGATTTGGCCACAAAGTCCAGGGTTGTCTTTTTGGGGTCTAGCTCCCAACCTCATCACCACCTTTAACCTGTAAATCACTCTAGCTCTCAGTGATGGGCCAATAATACCCTCGGGATCTTTGGTTTGGGCTGTGATTGGTTTAAGAAGAATGTAACAGCAGTTGTTTCTGTTTGGTGAAACCCTGAGAGTCTTCCTTTCCCAGATTTTTTTTTTAAGAGACCATCCTTTGCCTCTTATTAAGCCTTAATCACTGAACTGGCGTTGCCTCAGTCAGACTGAGACCTGTTAAAGACCTTGGCTTGAAAAGACCAACTGCTCTGCGTCCAGGGTCATCTCCAGATCTATATATTAGGCCACTGGACTCAGATGCATCCAGAGGAGAAAGTGAGGCTGGTGACTTTGCACAGCACTTGCTCACTTAAATCCAATTTGTTTGCATGCCATGGCATGTTGTAGTCCTCTTCAAGAAACAAGGACAAACAGCAAATAGTCTACTTTTTTTTTAACTTGTGTGTGTGTGTGTGTGTGTGTGTGTGTGTGTGTGTGTTTAGGCAGTTGGGGTAAGTGACTTGTCGCCCAGGGTCACACAGCTAGTAAGTGTCAAGTGTTTGGTCTGAGGCTGGATTTGAACTCAGGTCCTCCTGACTTCAGGGCCAGTGCTCTCTCCACTGTGCCACCTAGCTGCCCCTAACCTACTGTTTCACAGATAGCAAAAACAGAACCACAGACTGCCCAAGGCTTGTAACCTTAATTTATCTTTCCCTTATGATACCTATTGTGAAAGTCCATCCTTAGAGCTTAGTTTTCCTATCTGTAAAGAAAGGGCCACAATGTCAAATCAGTCAGTCAGTAAGCATGTATTAAGTGGATATCATTATGGTCCAAGTCCTGAAGAAACAAAAGTAAAGAATGAAATAACTTCCTATCTGTAAAGAAAGGGCCACAATGTCAAATCAGTCAGTCAGTAAGCATGTATTAAGTGGATATCATTATGGTCCAAGTCCTGAAGAAACAAAAGTAAAGAATGAAATAACTTCCTATCTGTAAAGAAAGGGCCACAATGTCAAATCAGTCAGTCAGTAAGCATGTATTAAGTGGATATCATTATGGTCCAAGTCCTGAAGAAACAAATGTAAAGAATGAAATAAATTCTAATGGGAAAGATCAAAGGTACATATATAAGCAAATATGGAATGAATATAAAATGAACATATGCATGATGGTTATCTGTGAGGTGGTTATTGATGAAGGCCGCTAGACTGTTGTGGGTATCAGGGAGGACTTTAAAGGGATGGAGGTGCTTGAACAAAGAGAGATAGAGAAAGAGGTGGAGATAAAGAGGCCATATATTTTGGTCAAGGGCCTGGCCATTGCAAAGACAGGGAAATGAAATAAAATGTCCTGGGTGAAAAACAGAGAAGGTCAGTTTGACTGGGTTGTAGAGCACAATGTATTATGAAGATAGGTTGGGAGCAAATTGAGAAAGGCTTTAAAATCTAAACAGGAATTTATTTTTGATTGACTCTTAAGTTCTGCTTTTGGAGCTCAATTTGTTATCTGCATAGGGAACCTTTGGGGTTCTTTTCTTTAGGCCTATAACCCTAGAAGCCATAGGGAGCCACTGGGATTGATTGAGCAGAGTGGAATTGATATGGTTTGAGAGTGCTGGGAACCCCGAAATGCAAAGGTACAGGGAAGATCTGCCTCAATAGAATTTGGCCACTCAAGCCTTCCAGTCAAAGTAGCAAGTCTATTGTGATGCTAATAGAAGCAGGCAAGATTCTAAATGAATCAGCACAATTTAATGGGAGTAAGATTAGTACTTTTGTACAGAAAAAGGCTGTAAGAAAATTTGGATGGGATTAAGGAAGGTAAATCCCTAGTAGTGGTACAGAAGTAACAGTGAAGGGATCTAGATGGGATTAAGGAGTATCAAATAAAACTAATTGAGTAATGAAGGTGGGCTGGGGTGGGCCAGATGTCTTGGGGGAAGGTACTAGTGATCTGGACTACTGAAATGTATGGGAAAATTCAGGGACTAGGTTGCTTTCAAAGACATGGTCTTTTCCTTTTAGGGGTCCAGCTTCAATCCCATAACCCCACCATGCTACTGCAAAATCATTTTAGCAGCCAGACTAGCAACCCAGTCAACTTGCTCCAGGCCAGGCATACAAAGAGTGGGGAGAACAGACAGGTGAGGTTGACTGTCTAATTTCTGTCATTTGCAGTGAGCTTGGAGGAGACACAACTGAAGGAAATCTTGAGCAAGAAGCAAGGTATCTGCCAATCACAAGTTTGTATTAAGCACCTACTATGTGCCAGGGACTGTGCTAGGTTGCAGATACAAATAGAATGAATGAAATAACCCCAGCTTTCAAGGAACTTACATTGTAGAGGGGAAGACAATAAGTATATATGTAGCTAAATTAAGATTAAGTATAAAGAGAACAAATTCAAATAAATGCAAAGTAGTTAAATATAGAGTAGTTGGAGAGGGAAGGGACTAGTAATAGGGGGAATCAGGGACCTGGCTCCATTGTTAGGTAGTTCTAAAAAGGCAGGGCTCCTAAGAAGATAGTTCATGTGCCATTTAAGTCCCTCTATGGCCTTTTGGCCACCTTTTGACTTCTTTCATTCTAGAAACTCTGAGGATCCTTCGCCTGCATTGCCAGGAGAAAGAAACTGAGGTGGTAAGGTAACTGGCTCTTTTTCCATTTCACCATTCACCAGAACTCTTTCCACATCCAGCATCCTATGAGAAAAAGCCCCAGCAAAGTCGTGCTGAGCTGTCTGGCCTGAGTGACATTGGTGCATTGGTTTTGCTTGTGATGGCAAGGTAACAAGCAGTTAGTAAGGTCTTACTTACTAGGCCTTACCAGGCACTGTGCTAAGTGCTAGGGATACAAATACAAGGGTGTGAAGTGTCCTGAAAGTTTTCTTTTTACAACTCACAGGATCGTAGAATCTCAGTGCCTAGAGGTATTGATCCCAATGATAAATGTTATTAGACGGATTTGAGTCCAGTGATTATTGAATGCTCTTTCAGTGTATAAGGCATGATTCAGAGCGTGATAGCTAGGAAGGGATACAAACTGCCAAGCAACGTGAAATGTCCCCCTTCACTGACCTCTGACTACACAGCTACTTTAAGAGCATCCTGACAAAAGGAATTCTGAAGGACTGCCCGAGAGGGATAAGATTCACCAAATTCTGAGGTTACCTCTTCCCTCAACTTTTTCTTTCTCCAGACAGCAGGCAGTGTTTGAGGGATACCAAAAGAGAATAACAGAGTTGAACTCCAAAATCCAGGAAGGAAAACTGAAGAAAAGGAATCAGAGGTAAAACCTTGTTTCAGCCTTTAGGCTGGTGCTTGATGATCTCTGAATTCAAGGCAAAATTGAGTTTGTGAACCAAAGAAAACTAGAGTCAGAAGACTGTGTCCTCCTCAGAAATATGGGACATACAAAGCAATGCTGGAAGGGGCCCAAATCATAGAATTGAAAAAAATCCTGAAAGGACTTTGAAGATCATCTAATCCAACCATATGACTTGGAAATAAGAAAACTGAGTTCCAGAGAGAAGATGGGACTTGCCCAAGATTGCCTAATTATGCAGTTGCAGTTTCTTGAGTCTCCTGACTACTTGTCCAGGGCTTTTCCCATTGCATTGCATTTCTTTGCACCAAGAGAAGTCCATAGATAATCAGATTGTCAGAGTTTGAAGGGATATTAGAAAACATCAAGTAGAGTTAGGTTTGATTTTACAGGGGAAGAAATTAAGACCCAGAGAGCACTGATGTTCGGACAGCTTTGAGTTCTATTCCTAGCTCATCATCATGACTCTCTTCTCTCCCCTAGTTTCTTGATTTTTAAAGTGAGAGGCCTAGACTAGATGTCAGTCTTCAAGTTCTGGAATTAAGTGACTCTGTAAGTGATGAGACAGTTGAAGCTTAATACAGGAAATATTTAAAAGTGGGAGAGATCTTTGTATACTGGAAGAATCCGAGAAAAACTTCCTGCAGAAGGGAGGATTAGAGCTTCGTCGGTTCTAAAGGTGTGGCCTTAGTGATTGTTTGGAGGGTGAGCTACTTCTGGTAGTGACCCTGACCAATCCTTTGCTTTCTTTTTCCTTAGAATGGAGTTTGGCCAGCAACTAGAGGAAATGATGGAGAAGAATAAGACTGTCTGGGAATTCCATGTGAGGGGATAACCTGTGGTCAGGATCTGAAGATAAATGGTTATTGGTGGGGAGTATGGAAGGTGGGATGTAGGATGAGGGGAATACTTGAAGAAAGGGACACACCTAGTATGCACAAGTGGACAGTGAAATAACCACCATCATTTAGAGCTGAAGGTGAATTGAAAGGGTAATTAGGGAGAGTATATGGAGTCACTGGTTTAAGGAGTTGTGTTTAAGGTGGAAGAGGGCCGGCATGGTTTTTAGATGGTTTCAAGAAAACTAGATTTGCAATCTCAGTGGAAGTTTTCAAGTAGATGGCTATCTGTTGGTGATGTAAAAGAGATTTGTGTTCAGGAACGGGTTAGTTAAGTAGGCCTCTGGTGTCCTTTCTAACTGAAATTTTGTGAACTTCTATACTGTGGTGTGAGGGCAGGCATTCCTGTGGAGGGAGGGGTCTTTAGGTGCAGCTGGCCTCCTTTTCTTCCTTGTATTAGAAGACAGCCAAACTATCCCAGGAAATCAGCAAGGTCAACAACAACAAGGAACAGCTTCTCATAGAGGGTGAGAATCCCGGTGTTGGAGGGCAGGGAATGATAGAGGGGAGGGAAAGGTGAATAATGCCTGTTTTGAGAAAATGAACTTCCTCTTTCCTAGGATTGTATTCTAGATTCTTCTAAGGATAACCTACCTTTCTCATGGGGGGGAGATGAACATTTGCCCCAAATAGAGCTGAAGACTGGGTGTCCACCTATTCAGAGTCTTCAGGAAGGGAGATTGATTGGATAGGGACAGGAAAATCCCAGATGAGAGGGCATCTGACATAACTTGTATTCCTGTGACCAGAGAGGCTAACTCAGGAGAAGCTTGACAGTATCCAGAAGCAGCTGGACAGGTTGACCCAGCCTGAGGCCAAGACTGAAGCCACAGCTGTCACCAGTGTGGATGCCTTCCTGTGCAGTGAGGAGGCTGCTGCAGCTATGCAAGCCTCTGTGGGGCTCAGGGGGAAGGAGGAGGAAGTAAAGGAGGGTTGGCTAGGCCTTGGGGTTTGAGGAATGCATCTCAGAAGAGGCAGTTCTGATTTCCAAGCAATATTTCTTAAGCAACTGTTTGAGGAAGAAAACAAGAAAGCCACAGAATCCCTGAAGGCAGCCTCCCTTCACTATCACCAGCTACAGCAGAAATACCAAAGGTGAACCCCCAAGATTCCCCAGAAGAGGTGGTGATCAGTTGATTATGTGTGTTTCTTCATCTACATCTCATTAATCTCTCACTGTTTCTCTCCCTGTGTCTCTCCATCTCTCTCTCCTTCCCTTTTTTTATCTATCTATCCTCCTTTCTTTATCTTTCCTTCACTCTGTTTTCCTCTTTCTCTCTGTCCATCTGCCTTGTATAACCCATTCTAACTTGGGCTTTCCATTTCTGGCTCCTGGCACAGGCTGAAGAGGGAGCTAGAATCTGTTGGCCACAGCAGCATCAGAGGATCCAAGGAGACAGGCACAGAAGAGGCTGCTGAATGGGAAAGTGGCATTGTTACCAAGGTGGGTGAGGGAGAGGTAGACACGAAAATATTCATGTTCTGGCTGTATAAGAGCTCAGACAAAGAAAAAGAATCAAAGACACTTAGGAGACAGTGACCTAAGGAAGCAGAGGAGAAGATCTGGAAGATAAAATGCTGGCAGCAAGGATTAATAAAAGGCAGAGAATAAAGGGAGAGGTACATGGTGGGGATGTTACTGCTAACTGGCGCTGGGTCCCTCCTTATTCTTTTATGCCCTCTTAGTCTGTCATGGAGCTTCCCAGGACACAGAAGAAAGATCAAGAAGTCAGGCCTGATCCTGGCAAACATCACGAGGTTCATCTTCATCCTAGAGGTTCCCAGAGGGTTTGGCCACCTGTCATTTAAGTGAGGTGAAGCTTTGCCTGCATCAATTTGGAGAGACTTTGTAGCCTGGCCTTTGAGATGCCTACCTGAATAAAGAATTCCTCATTCTCTGCTCCTGGTTCTGGCTATACTTTTGTCATTGTTCCAGGGTTTTAGCCTACCAGTCAACTAAGCATCTAGTAGGTGCCAGTCACTGGGTTAGATGTCAGGGATTAACAGACAAAAGTAAAACAGTTCCTGTCCTCAAGAAGTCTTTAATCCACAAGACTTAAGAGAAGCTTAAAAAGGCAAAAAGCAAAGAGAAATCATAAGGGTTAAAGGTTAAACTTTAAATAAGGTTAAACATTTGCATTCCGTCATGGGAAGATGACACTTGTTAACTCCTAAGGATTTTCTTATTATTAGGGCAGTTAGACAGAGGGCACAGTTGAGAATTGAATATGATAGGATGATATCTAAAAAATAAAATTAAAAGTGTGCACTGTGAGAAGCACAAAGGGAGAAGCAGAATGTGGCAAATCTCAGATAAAAGAAGTGTGAAAGCTTTTACACTGGAGGGGAAGAGATGTGGTGGTGGGGAATAACACATGAACCTTATTGTCATAAGAATTGGCCCAAAGAAGAAATAACATACACACTTACTCGTGAATACAAATCTATCTTACTCTTCAGGAAAGTAGGAGGGGAATGGGATAAGAGAAGGGAGAGGGCTGATAGAAGTGGGGATGGATTGGGAAGGCAGCAATTAGAAGCAAAACATTTTAGAGGAAATAGAAACAAATGTGAAACGTGTCACTGGAAAAACAACTGACCTTTCCAGGTCATAGACCTAGGAGAGAGAATTTAGAAATTATTGGACTATCTGAAAACTATGATAAAAAAAGAGCCTAGACATCATCTTTAAGAAATTATTATGGAAAACTCTCTGATATTCTGGAACTAGAGGGTAAAATAGAAATTGAAAGAATCTGCCAATCATGTGTTGAAAGTGAGCCCCAAAGGAAAACTCCTGGGAATATTATAACCAAATTCCAGAGTTCCCAGGTCAAGGGGAAAAATATTGCAAACAGCCATTCAAATACTGTGGATTTAGCAGTCTCTACCTTAAAGCATCAGAGGGCTTGGAATGGGATATTCCTGAGGGCAAAAAGGGTAGGATTACAACCAAGAATCACCTACCCAGCAAAACTGAGTATTCAAGGGGAAAATGGACATTCAATGAAATAAATAAAGGACTTTCAAGTATTCCTCATGAAAAGACCAGGGTGAATAGAAAATTTGACTTTCAAATACAAGGCTCAAAAGAAGCATAAAAAGGTAAATAGGAAAGAGAAATCATAAGGGATTTAATAAGGTAAATTGTTTACATTCCTATGTGGGAAAATGATAACTTGCAACTCCTAAAACTTTCTTATTAGGGCAGTTAGAAGTAGTATATATGGACAGAGGGTGTGGGTGTGAGTTGAATATGATGAGATGATTATCAAAAAAATTAAGGAGTGAGAAAGAAAAATGCACTGGGAGAAGGGGAAAGGGAGAGGGAGAATGGGGTAAACTATATGACATAGAAGAGAAAGAGATTTTGGAAAGAGATTTTGCAGTAGAGGGGAAAATGGCAGAAGGAAGGGTGTGAACCCTACCCTTATCAGAATTGGCTCAAAGAGGAATAACATACACACTCAGTTGGATGTAGAAATCTGCTTTACCCTTCAGGATAGTAGGAGGGAAAGGGGATGAAGGAGGGTGGTGGGGTGGAGACTGATCGAAGGGAAGGTGAATAAGGGTGATGGGGTGCTTGGATGCTTGTCTTTGGGAGCTTTGCTTGTACTTGGACCCCGATTTCTCCCTAGTCTCAGAAACACTGTCTCTGACAACCACTCCCCAGCCCAAGGACACTGTGTCTAGCAATCACTCATGCGTGGCCCCAGCAAGACCCTTATCTGTCTCCCTGGTGCAGCTACACAAAGCTGGGTGAGAGAGTGCTGGGCTGCTCAGGCCCCAGCCCTCAGATCATGTCTCTGGAAGCCTCCCAATTCCTTAGTAAGCTCCTGTCTTGTGAGAAAGCTTTCCCTTGTTGCAGAGCATTCTCTCATCAAGACAGAGGGAGAGGGGTGCCTTGCCCAGCCCAAGGAGTTTTGTCCTTGGCCGGCCCAAGGACTCTTCCTCCTGCCAGACTCCCAAGAGCCATGCCTCTGTCATCTCCCTCCCTGATTAGTATACTCCCTACACTTTCCCATCCATAACTCCCAAAGACACCTAGACCTTTGGGTTACCTTATCAGTGTCCCTGGCATTCTTTTCCCATGCCCTTTTCCATATAAACCCTCACTCCATCTTCAGTCTCTTGAAGGTTCCTTAAGAATCCTTGCCACTGAAAAGCATAACAATAAATCTCTGCCACCTTGACTTGAAGAATGCTTGGGTCTGTGAATTCATTCCAGATCCCCGTCCTGTACTCCAGTCTTTGAGGGGTCTCAACCTCTCAGACCCACAACAGTGGGAGGGGGTATTCAGAAGTAAAACACTTGAGAATGGACACGGTGAAAGGAGAAAGAGAGTAGGAGGGGAACATACAGTAGTCACAACTGAAAAAAAAATACAGCAAGTTTCCCTGATAAAGATTTCATTTCTCAAATATAGAGAGAAAAGGATCAAATTTATAAAAATAAGAGCCATTCCTTTGACAAGTGGTCAAAGGAGATGAAAAAGCAGTTTCAGACAAAGTAATCAAAGCTATATATAGGCATATGAAGAAGTGGTCTAAATCACTTTTAATTAGAGAAATGCAAACTAAACCAACTCTTAGGTACCACCCCACACCCATTAGATTGTTCAATATGACAGAAAAGGGAAATGACAAATGTTGCAGGGGATGTGGGAAAATTGAGACACTAATGCCCTGTTGGTGGAGCTGTGAACTTACTCAACCATGCTGGAAAGAAACTTTTTTTTTTTACAGAGGATAGAGTTTTATTGGCAACAAAAACTTTTACATATAGTATTGCACAAATTGTAAATGGATCTACAAAATAATATTAACTATACAAGTTGTTACTAGCACTTACATAAGCCTTTTTAAAGTTTTGTGCATGATGTGTATCAGGTTCTTATGAACAGGATGCAGGTGAGCAGATATGAACAGGATGATCACATTTAAAGGAACTCAAAACTACTTCTGACAGAGTTAACTTTCAAATACAAAGCATTTCCACACAAAACAAAGCGTCTAATGTGTCAAAACCAACAGAATCAAGAGTTAGAATATAAAATGAACACTCTCGGAGAAAACTGTAGGGAAGGGTATTTGTTTATGCTAACTTTAACAAAGGCTATTGCTTTAATATTTCATCAATAGAAGTTAGGAGTCAGAAAATATGAAATTTGAAACTTTAGAAAGGACAACCATATTTTACTGAAGGCAAGCACAATAGCTATAGTACTTATACTAATCTTTTAAGAAGGATTCTGAGGTTGCTCCAGTAACTCACCCTCCTTGCCTTTTTGAATTGTAGTTGTACAGAAAACAAAGAATGCAGTTAAATTAATGTTTTCTCCAAATTCTGTCCCTTAAAGAAATATATGTACTCCACAGAACTGAAGGACTAAGGAATTCCATTTACATGCCAACCAGCTAAAACATTTCACTTTGTTCTTTGCACAGTCGGCACTAATATAGATCCTTCTCTTCCTCTACTGCCTAAGAGCATAGACATAGACAATCTGCATCACTTCTAAGGAAATAAGAAATGTGGATCTTCAAAGAGGCCCAGTGGAAAGCCTGCCTGTGAGTTAAGAAACTTCAGTCTGGTCCTGGCTTTGCCATTGGCTACTTCCATGATCTCATGTGCCTCGAGGGCACAGGTTTCCCATGAGTGGCATAGAGACCACTCACCCAAATAAAAACTCAGAGGTTTCTCCAGGTAGGAAACAGAAGTTTTATTCTAGCAAGTCTCCTGCTAGAGCTGGGTGTGACCTACCCAGAGCGGACTAGAGTAGGGAGGCAAGATACGAGCAGCAAATAAGCAGTTATATACCCTCAGACAAACAACTCTAGGAAAAACCCCCTCCCCACTTGTTTACCTGAATCTCTTCATTCCCATTGGCTGAGGTAAGAGACAAATAATTTTACCCAGGAATTAAGAGATACATTTTACTCAAAACAAACTTGGATTGCCTTATTTGGCAAAGATAAGGTACAAAACAAAGGAAGAGGTGGTCAGCTGGTACAGAACTTTACTCCCCCCAAAACATAGGATTTACATGCAAATGAAACTTAGGCCCAGCTTATGCTAAAGCCTTACTACATTTTTGGAGCATAGTTTCCATTTTATATGAGAAACTTTCAGTTGTCCCACACAGTAGATTTCTTCAGCGTCCCTATTTGCTGTTTCATCAAGATTGGGCCCTCCTTCCTCCTGATCGACTGTCATCCACTCTTGACTCCTTGATATCATTAGTCTTATAGACTCACTGACAGGTCTTTTAATGTAATCATTCTAGAGGGGGTCTTTTGTACAGTAGTAGGAATTAACTGTACCATGCAAGGGGCACACACTGGGAGCAGTATGACTCCACTTACTGCTATTAAAAAACCATAATACCTGCTTCCACCAACATCCCTCAAACCAGGACCACCAGGGAGTACTAAATGAAGAGGACCAGGTCTGCACTGGAACACGGGCAATTTTTCTGATTTTCTTGTTAATATCTCTAATGGTTTGTCCCACATCATCTATTCTCATACAACAAGTGGACAGGCTTAGCTTTCTACAGACACCTCCCTCCTCAGCTAAGAGATAATCCAAGACTAGCCTATGTTGTAAGATAGCCTCCTGACTTTGGTCTACAAAAACAGATAGAAGGTCAGTAGTCATAGCAGTTTCGTTAGTAATGATTTCTACTACTGCTTGAAGTCTGATTATCCTGTTAAGCATACATATCAGGGTCCGATATCCCCAGCTCCCATCCTGCACCCAAGTCGCAGGTCCATATTCCCTCATAATCCTTTCAGGGGGCCAAGTATCTCCCCACCCATTTGCATTTCCTATGCTAGCAATGGAGGTATCAATGGCTCCCTTGTTCCATTCTAAATCATCGTAAACTGGTACATTCAAATGTTTGCCTCCTTGTGCTGACAGGAAAAAGATTTTGGGACAGACTAATCCAAAATAGCATATCCCAGTCCAATCAACAGGAAGGTGGGCTTAAGCAGTGAGGCCACAGATCCAATAATGCCCCCTCAAAACTGGCTGTTGGTGATGGAACATAGCAGAATAATTCCCCACTTTCAGGTAATATTCCCTGTTCCTGGGTCCTAGTGGCCTGCCCTCACTCCCATTCCTATACTGACATTTCCACAGTGTCGCATTCTCTTCCCACTTGCAGCTAGTGATGAGGGGATCTCTGGTTCTGTTCGTCTTACTCCAATACTCTCGGGAATAGCCCTCCCTCCACCAGTTTCATTGACCCACCTCCATTCTGCATAGGGGACTTCGATGGCTCCCCTCACTCCCCTACATTGGGATATTTCTTCCCTTAATTTGATCAGTGTGGGGTTTCCCAAAATTGTGATTAAGTCCAGGGTACCTGTTTTGTTCCACTGCCGTTGAATCTCAGTGCAGTTATATGATCTGATTCTTAAGAGCCCTGTGAAGGTTCATTCACAGCTACTCTCTTAATGGGGTCTTTCCCTCTGTTTGGTTCAGATAGTATAACCCCTTCTTTTTCTCAGCAAGGGGCCATGAATGCTCTTCCCATTCCTCCCAGGATCCTGTCCCATTATTAACTACTGACTTATTACTAAGGAGCCATTGTGGCTTCAGGGGAACAGGGACCCAAGGCCAATACTCTCACTGCTGTGGCCCTCCACATATCCAACAATTAGTGAGGTTAATTGGGTATAATTTGAACAAGGCTTTGGAAGCTATTGACCCTGGGGAGCCAGGGGATTGGGGCTGGAAAGGAAAGGGAGGACAAGCTTAATAAGAAAATGATCAAGGGAACTCCATGCGTCACACTCTGATTACACCACCGGAGGAGAGGGGAAATATTCTTTGGCCAAAAATGTGGTCCCCCAACAGATAAAAATGCCTAATAAAAAAGGAGCAACAGAACAAAGGCTATGATGATCACACCACCCAAGCACTTCCAGCCCTTATTGTTCATGTGTCCAACCCTCTAAGAGACCTCTGCCGAGATGCAGTCTCAGCTCCTCAGGATGTCTGGATTCAACAGTCCACACCAAAGGGGAATCCATCAGTCCTTTTGCTCTTGTGTAATGAGTCCAACCTTTTCCCTTAGTCTGAATGTCAGTATCTGAGGTCAGCAAAACTTCAAAGGGACCTTCCCAGGTAGCAGTAAGCTTCTCCTCCTTCCAAACTCTGATCAGGACCCAATCTCCGGCTGGTACCTGTGGACTGGGAATCCCAATGGTGGGGTTTGAGCAATTAGTTCCTTTATCTGAAGAGTATTCAAATGTTTTGCCAGGGAAGATACATATTCTCTTGAGAATTTATCCTTTTGTTCAAACAGAGGGTCCTAATTCCCTTCCTCTCCCTCAGGGTAAGGGTGTCCATACAAAAGTTCATAAGGAGAGAGCCCTATGTCCCTGCGGGGTTTGGTTTGGATTCTGAGAAGGGCCAGAGGCAGGCATCTGTTCCAGTGCAATTGGTGCTAAGGCTAACCTGGTAAGTTGTTTCTTAATCTCTTGATTCATCCTTTCAACCTTACCAGATGAGGGAGGATGCCAGGGGGTGTGAAACTCCCAGGTAACGTCCAAGGCTTGGGCTAGAGCCTGCAGAACCTTGGCTGTGAAATGGGTCGCCTGGTCCGAATCAATCCGTTCTACCACTCCATACCTTGGAATTATTTGCTCTAGTAAAATTTTTCCCACTGCAGGAGCAGTGGCACATCGAAAAGGAAAGTCTTCGACCCAAGAAGTTAAGCGGTCTGCTATGACTAGTAGGTATTTGAGGTGTCCTACAGGGGGTAGCTCGGTGAAATCCACCTGCATGCTCTGAAAAGCTCTAAGACCTGGGGCCTGCCCCCTACCAGAGTCTGGCACAACGCAGACTTGTTTGTCCTTCAACATACAAGGCACCCGTTTGCCAACTGTTGAGCCAAGGTATAAAGACCAGGAGACATGAACCAAGTCAGGATGGCATCACACAGGTTCTGGACATCCCAATGACTACCCTGGTGTAAATGTTGAAGGACCCGCCTCATACCTGCTCTGGTCAGTACCTCTCTTCCATCTGGAAGTAGCCATCACCCATCTTTTTCCTGTGCTCCTGATGCCAGCGCCTTCTGTTTTTCTTCCTCGGTAAAGGAGAGAGAAGGGAGACTGGAGGAAGAGGGGATTAGAACTAATATGTGACTAAGCAGCTCTGGTTCTGTCATCCCTGCCCTTTTTGCTTCCTCATCTGCAAGGCGACTGCCCCAGACTCAAAGGACTGCCCAGATTGATGACCATCCACATGTATTACTGTTATGGCCTCAGGCAACATTAGATTCTCTAAGATCTGACTAATTAAAGTAGTATGTGCTAATTCCTTCCCTTTACTGTTAACCATTCCCCTTTCTTCTCAGATTTTCCCAAAATATGTACCACTCCCCAGGTATACTTTGAATCAGTGTAAACACTGCCCTCCTTTCTTTTAATAATTTTAATGCCTGGTTTAAGGCACATAGTTCACATATTTGAGCAGACCAACTTTTTGGTAAACTTCCTGTCTCAACCAAGGATTCTTGATCCCCATTATATGATAGCATACCCATTTCTTCTTTTCCCTTCCACCATCCGAGAGGAACCATCAAAGAAAAAAATTGATTCCTCCAGCAATCGGGGATTCTTGTAAATCCTTCTGGACCCAGGTTTGAAGATCAATAAAGTCAATTCAATAATGCTCTAACTCAAATGCATCTCCACCCCCTGAGGTCAGAAAAGAGGCAGGACTTAAGTTATTATCTTCTGATACTATTAAATCATCTTTCTCCAGTAACATGGCTTCATATTTGAGAATTCTGGAATCTGATGCCACCTCCCTGCCCTTTGATTCAGGATGGCTCGCACCTGAAGGGGAACACTCACTATCAGGCTTCCCCCAAAGGTCAGCTTCCTACTCTCCTCCACCAGTATAGCAGCAGCCACTACTGCTTGAATACAGGTCGGCCACCCTCTAGCCACAGAATCCAAGATTTTTGATAAGAAAACCACAGGTCTCTTCTGGCCTCCCCCTATTTGGGTCAAGACCCCCAGTGCTACCCCTTTGTCTACATTTACAAATAAATGGAAGGGTTTCTCCAGGGAGGGGATTGTCAAAATGGGAGGGGAGGGGAGGACTTCCTTCAATTGCTTAAATCCTCCTCCCCTTCAGGGCCCCATCTAATTTGCTCTGGTTCTTCCTCCAATAAGCATTGGTACATAGGTTTTGTGAGGGATGCATATGAGTCAATCCAATTTCTGCAGTACCCTACTAACCCCAGGAACTTTCTGAGTTCCCCCTTTGTTTTCGGGAGGGGAGTTTGAAGGATTCCTGCCACCCGCTCTGGATCCAGCCTCTTCTGCCCCTCACTGATTAGATGTCCCAGTTATTTCACCTTTCGTTCCACAAATTGTAATTTATGCTTGGAAATCCTCAAACCCTCTGATTCCAAATAGTTTATCAATTTGATTGGGACCTCACTAGTTTCTATTCTCATGTTACCTGTCACCAGCAAATCATCTACGTATTGTAATACTTGTGTCCCAAGGGGAGCTCTAAACCCTTCCAGGATTTTTTCAAGGACTTGTCCAAATAAATTTGGTGATTCTGTATATTCCTGGGGCAGGATGCACCACCTATACTGCTGCTTCCTCCCAGTCTCAGGATCTTCCCATTCAAAAGCTAAGATGTCCCTACTACTAAGGTCTAAGGGACAGGCTCAAAATGCATCTTTTAAATCAATTACACTGAACCTGAACCACCTACTGCCTCCATTTATTCTTCCCAGGATCGTGTAGGGGTCAGGAACCACTGGGTGGGATGGTAGTACAACCTTATTAACTTCCCTCAAATCTTGGACTAGTCTATATGTTCCATCCCCTTTCTGTGTCTTGATTTCTCATAAAGTCACTAGCTTCCAATTGTTCTATTCTAATTTTTAAGTAAGTATTTTCTTCAGTAAGCTTTTGGACTTCCTTTTCCATTTGGCCAATTTTTCTTTTTAGGGCATTTTTCTCCTCATTGGCTTTTTGGACCTCTTTTGTCATTCGGGTTATGCTATTTTGTAAGGTGTTATTTTCTTCAGTATTTTTTTGGGTCTCCTTCAGCAAGCTGCTGACTTCTTTTTCATGATTTTCTTGCAGCTCTCTCATTTCTCTTCCCAGTTTTTCCTCTACTTCCCACTTACCCAAATAAAAACTTAGAGGTTTCTCCAGGTAGAAAACAGAAGTTTTATTCTAGCAAGTCTCACGTGAGAGTTGGGCATCACCTACCCAGGGTGGATGAGCAGCGAATAAGCAGTTACATACCCTCAGACAAACAACTCTAGGAAACTCCCCCTCCCCTCTTGTTTACCTGAATCTCTTTATCCCCATTGGCTGAGGTAAGAGACAAACAACTTTACCCAGGAACTAAGAGATACATTTTACTCGAAACAAACTTGGATTGCCTCATTTGGCAAAGATAAGGTACAAAACAAAGGAAGGGATGGTCAGCTGGTGCAGGACCTTATTCCCCCCAAAACATAAGATTTACAGGCAAATGAAACTTAGGCTCAGCTTATGCTAAAGCCTTACTACATTTTTGGAGCATAGTTTCCATTTTGTATGAGAAACTTTCAGTTGTCCCACACACCCACTAGATGATCCCCTCCAACTCTAAAATTCGAAGTGCGTTTAGGACTCGTGCTTTAGGAAGACAACTAGAGTGAAAGAAACAAGGAGTTAAACATTACAGACCTGGAGTATATATATTTTAGAGAGTGTTTTCATCTAGAAATTCTTTGCAGTGTTCCTAAAAATTTTTATCTACACACAGTGACCATGACATTTACAGGTTAAGGCCTCCTGATAAAGAAAACTTTGATAAACATTGTAAAAGGCTCTGGCAAATCTGGCTAGGTGAAAGATGTCCAAAGTCCTTTGCCAGCAGAAGTCTTTTCTGCCTCTGGATTTTAAGAGCCAAAAATCAGAGCTTAAAATGTAAAAATGATGAAAACACTCCACAATTATACTTGCTTGTCAGATATCCACTCTCATCACAACTATGTGAAATGCAAGCCTGAATCTAATCAATAAGACAAGGGCACTGAACATTTGTTCTAAGAGAAATACAAATGGGGATATAAACTCAGACAAGGGTTGCTTTTTTTCCTTTAAAGAATAGTAACAGCACTCCTCAGAAATTTTCTAGAGCTCAATCTGTCACCTTGTTAGAAACACCCTTGAAAATGGTGAATGTCAAAGCAGGAAAATTTATTACAATAGAATCTTAAGGAAGTGTTTATGGTTCTGGCCAGAGTCAGGCTACGCTCTCCTTCAGAGAAGAGTGAGCACTGAGTACTGAAGCAAGAGAAGCTTTATACTGTTAATTCGTCTAGAGCCCTCCCATCAGAAAGCTGGTTGGCCAGCTCTCTTCGGTTTACAATCTTCCCTCAATGCCCCATCTACCTGGTCGCGTCCCATGATCTGTTGATGAGGCTCTAATTTTATGTGGGATGTTTCAATTAATATTATATCAGCTAATTAACCATGCTCAGTAGCAATTTTGAGCTGCCTGGTCATTGACCCCAACCGGTTTGAGCCGGATCAGCCCTTATCCTAAACTTGCAGTTTTCTGGAAACTACCAGCTTACTTCTTATTGGCTAAGCTCACCTGCAGTGCAACTGTTTCTTTTGCTTTGAAACATCTTGGTTGTTTTGTACTCCCAGCATTGTTCTGTCTTTGTGGAAAGTTAACACTTGCCTGACTCTCACAACCTAAAAGATGGTGCAAAGCACTTTTTCTAGAATTTAACATCAAGGTTTTATTTTCAAAATGTGCTAACTTTATTTTCCTCATAAGGCAGCCATACCTTGCAAGGCTCAGAACCTGAGAAACATGATTTCTTTGGAAAGTTACAGGGTTCAACGTGAACATTCTTGGTACTTAATGCCAGATTAATCCTGAGTTTTCAAATGTTAAAGCTTTCTCCACAGGTACAAGTTCCTTTGATCTTTGGGTTATTGGAAACAAATTTGCCGGACGATATCTTCTACATATTCCATTTCTGTTTCTAAAAGCGTTTTCGCTGGGCTTTCTTTGCGATGAACACTCTAA